CACACGTAGTGTGTAAAAATAGACAACATCTACGTATTTTAAAAAGTATAATGGAAAAATATCGACTTGACTGTAGGATAATAATACGATTTTTGCACAATTTTACGCTCTTTTGCAATTCGTGTTCCTTTGCAATTCACTCCCTTGGCGTACGCACAGTTCGCCATACTCTGTATGCTACGGTACTGTGTGCGCAGTAGCACGGGGCGAAGAAAACACTGGGACCGGTGTAACAGGCGATTATTACCCCCCCAACATTTTTACCGGGGGGGGGGGGGTAATAATCGCCTGAGGTAATAATCGCCTACAGTAACAGGCGATTATTACCCCCCTCACCATTTTTTACCGGGGGGTATTAATCGCCTGAGGTAATAATTACCTACAACAACAGGCAATTATTACCCCTCCTCCCCCCACATTTTTTTACTGGGTGTTATTAAACGCCTGAGGTAATAATCTACAACAGCAACAGGCGATTATTACCTCAGACGATTAATTCCCCCCAGTAAAAAATTGCGAGGGAGGTAATAATCGCCTGTTGCTGTAGGCGATTATTACCTCAGGCGATTATTACCCCCCCGGTGTAACAGGCGATTATTACCCCCTCACAATTTTTTACTGGGGGGTATTAATCGCCTGAGGTAATAATCTACAACAGCAACATGCGATTATTACCTCAGGCAATTAATACCCTCCAGTAAAAAATTGTGGGGGGAGGTAATAATCGCCTGTTGCTGTAGGCGATTAATACCCTCCAGTAAAAAATTGTCGGGGGAGGTAATACTTGCCTTTTGCTGTAGGCGATTATTACCTCAGGCGATTATTACCCCCCTCCCCGGTAATAATATAGGGGGTAATAATCGCCTGTGACACCGGGGCGAGAATTAACCGCTTTCGACGGGCACCGTTTACGAAGTCATCTGCGACCATTTCACTCCTGTTTCGATCTCGGTTTATTGTATGAACATATCCGTAAAACTCAAATTTTGCCTTTGTGGTCGTCGGTGGGACATCGATTGTCTTCAAGAAAAATGAGTTTTATTTTCACACATTTCGTCTCGGTTTCTCGAAAATCAGCACTCTTTCCCTATCTCTTTCTCTCTCTCTCTACCTTATACAAAATAATAATAATACTAACCGTTTACTATTATAGTATCATAGAATAATTTTCGAAAATATAACCGCATTTTATTGTTAAAAATTCGATTCTATAACGATTGTTATCGGTGAAAAACCGTGGTAAAATTAACAGAACTGATGTGGTTACAACATATTTTATTTATACTCTAATGATGACCAGTCCTTTTAAAATAACTAAAAACTTTTAAATCTTAACGAAATCCAAGGTAAATTTAAACTGTTCTTAGAACTTAGCCAACATTGTTTATGTTATGATTGTTTTTTTTCTCGTACGCACAATAATAATGATCTTTAGTTTTATTTTATCTTTTAAATAACGATAGTAGTTTATTTTCCGTAAGTCTTTCACTGAAAATTTTTACAATATCCACAAAAACTTAATGTATACAGATGACAAAATGAATTGATAACAATGCCCTTAAGATAGATTTATACAGTAAAATATCGAATTCAATTGATACAAAAAATATAATTACCAAACATTGTAATACAAATATAATCAACCAAGAGAAGTACTCTGATCATCATCAAACGAAACGTAAAAATTAGGAAATGGGAACTATTAAGTACTTTCGAGGAGTCGTTTTATGAATTTCCCAACAGTGTTTTTCAATAATTGAAAATACCGTGGAAAATTTATAAAAATATAGTGACATTTACGGTATACTAGGTTTCAACTAAATCGAATTTTATTTTTATAGTAATTCAAGAAATATAATCGTAGAATAATGAAATTTTCATTACATTTTTATAACATCTTTTACTGTAGATGGTATTATTTCCAAAAGATTATTTTTAAACTGTTTATAGAAAATTGAAATTTTCATATTTCCTTGGATTTTTGTTGAAAATACTGATAAAATAATTTTCTTTTAATAGCAATTTAATATAATTTTCCTCATACAAATATATTATTGATCATTGACTAAAAAGTTAGGCTTAATAAAAAAAAAAATTCACGAGCTTATAAATATTAAATTTTAATAAAACGATAAAATCAATGAAATTTATTTTATATTTATGTTCAAAAATTCATAACATTTTCTATTATTTAACTTTAAATTTGTGAATCAGATACAAGCATAGTATGTTGGTTAGAAGCTTTAAATACTAATATAGAAATATCATTCACTGATCTATGTATCTCATTTGACGGTTGAGATTCAATGGATTTAGGAGTCTCACTCTCTGTAAGTTAATCTATTTACTTTTTGAACTTGAAATGTGACAAGTTAATAATATGATAATAAAATACAAAATCCGTATCAGCAAGAAATGATTTGTAGAAGATGAACCTACTTGAAGACGATGCGCATTTAATCGTTTAGAAAACAATTCGTATTTCAGTTAAAAGTGCTTTAAGATTGAGCTCTTCAAGAGAATATAAGTTTGTTTAATTTGTGAGAAAAACACAGTTAAATGTGTCTCCATTTACACATAAAGCTTTTCTAACTTTTATCGGTTAACTAAAATAGCGGTGCATAACCTTTATTGATCCATGACCCTCAAATTAATTAATTTCGATGACCCCTCCTTTCTACCAAAATTATTTTAGTGTATAATATATAATAACTTAATGTACACAAACATTTTGTTCATTTAAATTAATTAGTTGATTTAAGGCAATTTCAATATTTCTTTAATTTAATTAATCCAAAACATAAAAATTAGAGTTACATAAAATATAAAATATAAATATAAAATCATATAAAATAATATACAAAATATATTACTTTTTCATTTGATGTTAAATTATTGGTGACCTCCTGATAAAATTTGACATTATCCTTAGAGGTACCGTCCCTCAAGTTGTGAAAGTCTGAACTAAAAGATTTACTAGTTATTTTAAAGTGTAAGACCAATTAATATAACCACAACAGTTAAAATTAATTAGTTAACTTAATATTAATTTACATTTCTTAAAATAAATAAATGAAGTAGATTATTCACTTGCAATTATATAACATTATTATTTAAACTCATCTTTATATTTTATTGTATATAACGAAAACTCATATATTATAATTGGTTTTATTGTACTTAATAAACCTCAAATGAAATGTTTTTAGTGTTTTTAATCGAACCATCGGAATTATATTATAATTATATGGAATTATACGGTATTTACCATTTATTCAATTTCCGTGAAATGTAGGTATAATTACAACCATAAACACTAATAATTACTTTCACAGCATTTATTATGAAAGTTCTATAGAAGTAATAATTTAAGTGAAAAAAAAAAAACTCTAAATTTTCCCATTAATATACTTTTTAATATTGATAATTTTTAAAGTAAAATATTACTCAATCAAGTTTAAAAAAAAAATTAAAATTTAAACATTTACTTTTATCGTAAGTAAATTTGAGTAATACCTATCAGGTGTATTTCATTTAGATTATTAAATCCATTATTAAATCAATTTCTAAATTAATTGTCCTCGTCAAAGTTCAGAAATTGAATTCGTGACGAATAGACCATAATATTAGAACTCAACCAAACATTATAAAGTCGGTAAGGATAGGAATACTAATAGAAGAGCGAAAGTGGCTGAACATGGGAGCGGAGTGCTTTAATAACAATGATGTGAATCAGGAATCGCATACAAATGACATACATCTCATAAAATTGATGACTTTGTTAGTTTTTAGCAGTATACTAAGTTTATACTTATATATAAATATGAATTAATTTTAGTTTGTTGATTTTTAAGTGGTTAATGAATTCAAAACTTAATATTAGTGTTTTGTAAAAAACTACAGAGGCTAAAGGTTCAATAATATTTATTTTTATTGTTGATCGTTTGAGTTTCAGTTATAAATTATTATTTCAGCTGTGCAGGCACATTTTTCTTACAGATATAAAATTCAAAAATAAATACAGTAAAAATCTTTCGGACACAGAAGAATCTTATGGTATTTTCAAAAGACTTATATTTCTAGATAAGTTACTCCAAACTAAATATTATTAACTCATTAAATAGAAAAGAAAAAGATCCAATTCAAATAAATATTTTTACTCGTAAATTATGTATTTTAAAAGTGTATACGAATACTGAAACAGAATAAAAAACGAATACATAATAAGAGTTCTTTATTGTTAATAAACAAAAATATAACATTTTTGAAAATGAATATTTTATTCGTTTTAATAAAAATAAAAAATAACTTGGTAATAACTTGATATGTATAATTTTTTTAATAATCTTGAGCTTCATACCACAGGTGGTCGTCAATCTAATTTTTCTAGTGCTTTATTTCGAAGCATTGCAGTTTTTGGTATATTTTTGCGCTGTATTCAGTCGTATAATATATAATACGACTGTTTTCTGTACGTACACTAGCGCACATCTAAATAATAATTGCTACGGTATAGTTTAATGCCCTGAAATCGTGGCAGTGGACGCGATCAATATACGTTACTGTAAATATTTGAATTTGATTTGATAAAAAATAATAGGTTTTCTATAATAGAAACAAATATATATTTAAGTATCCAGATAGAAAAATCACTATATAATAATTTTAAAATGTTATTACACATATAATGACTAATATTATTTTAACACCACTATGCTTATATAAGCCTATAAAAATGTTTTTTTTTTTTTTCTAATATTATAGTAATAGTTAATAGCCATTACTTATTTTAATAATAGGATTGTGTGCGTGTATTCATTATAAAATCAATTATTTATCGTGTAATTAGTATACGTGATGCTTTTTTGATAATTGAATAATACGTATTCGTTAAGGTGACGTTTCCGTAAACAGAATAGATTACGATTTTGAAATTTAATCTAAGCGTGAAAAAAATTATATTTTCATAATACGTTTTTCGCTTTATTCGTCTGTTTCAGCGTACCAATGGTTTTCACGTCAGTTTTTTGTGCCATTTCTTTGATGATCGTATGGTCTTCAGTCACCGGACGGATATCGGTAGCCGGCATTGATCCTCTGAGTGAATTAGACTGCACTAGAAAACTGTATACGTTCCAAGTGTCTAACACCGACGTCAATGGAAGGGTGTGTTCCGACGAGATTCAAGTGATGTCTTGCTGGGGCAGATGCGATTCCAACGAGGTAGTGAGACGTGCACGATACACGTGATTTTTATGACATACAATGCCATTTTTACTCTATGGATACGTGGGGACCTAACTCGGAGCCCCCGAACTTATGGGACCTCAACCGACGGAGGCACCGGAAAATATAATTTACATCGATACGTTGTAAATACATTAGCGCAACCCATCTCAACTTAATATTAGACTTAAGTAATCCGTTATAATTTTAAAATAATGTTTAATAATATTCAATTCAAAATTTAAATGGTATTGTTGATACCTTTTTAAATAAAGAGGTAAGTCTACAAATACCGTTTCGAATTCCAAATGTTTGTTATAATTTAGAAATTAATAGGGAATTACTTATTAGTAATGGGACACATTACGCTTAAAAGTTTCCGAATTGTTCTTCACACATGATTTTCTGTAAAAAAATGAATTAGTAAACCAAAAACGATGAATTGAACACTAGTTTTTATGAAAAGTTGGGTTTGCAATAATTTATTTCGTTATATGTTCAATACAAAAAAAAAGTGTTTTATAATTGGTAGATATTTGTATATCTACCAATGTATATCTACCAATATGTATAGGAGGCCAATAACGCACACAACAATTAAAACATATGTTAATCATTGGATGTCTAATCATATCCATCCTACATTTATACGGTGGTTAGTACTATTGAATTTTACATGTTTAAATCTACAAGGAAGTGAGTAAATCATGAATGGTACTACTTTCGTAACAGCCATTAGGTGGTAACGTATTACCGATGTGAATTCTGAAATAAAGTGACCAAAACAATATTTAGAAAACTAACATAAAAATATTATGAAGTGGTTTTAGAGCTAAAACACATATAATATATACAACTTAGTGGAGACGATCTCATCAGGTTTTTTTAATTTTTTCAATATCGGAAAAAAAAAATTATATTATAAAAATAATATTCTTAAAATATTGTGACTTAAAAAAAAAAAAAAACTCAATGTTTCTTACATAACTATTATAGCCTAAAACTTTTATATCAGATATCTTAGGTTTTATATTATTTTTCAGTAACTTTTTGTTTGGTTTTTTTTGACTTTCTCTTAATATTATAATGATATATTTACGTCATCATATAATTTATAACAGTGGTTCGCCACAGGTGTGCGATATTTCTTTTAATTCTATGGGTGTTGCTACCACGCTTTTTCGAGTACGAAAGGGGACGAGAAGAAATGTAATAGTGACAAACATGTCACGTGTTATTACTTCTTTTGTTGACATTTTTAAGACAGCTCACGTTTATATACCACTGTAAATAACGTGAGCATGTTTTGTTACTGTAATAATATTTATAGAGTGAATTTTTAGCACGCTTTATCTATTTTCCATGCTTACATTAAAAACACTTTTTTAAAAATCTGTGTTATGAAAAATGTATGTGTACTACATAAGGCTATATATTTTCTAATATTTATAGACTTGTATACATAAAAATAAAAAAAGGAGTTTTTTTTTTTTTTAAAGAAACTATTTTACTGCAAGATCATTCTTAAAAGATACAAAAATAAATCTGTTTTCCAGCTACATTTTTTTTTATCTATTTTTATTTATTAAATTTTATTACAAATATACGGGTTTCTCCTTTTATAATAAAGTAACAGTAACTTTTATAATAGTAGGACATTAAATAATTATAATTATATAAGTAATACATAACAGAAGTAAATATTAAAACAGAATAGGTATTATGATATTACAGTTTTTCAACAGTATGTTAAAACAAATTAATATTAAATAAGAGATCCTCATTGACAAGTGACATAATACGTCATAGAGGCTCATTTTGTAAATAATTTGTGTAGGTGATCAGGGCCGTCCCGAAGATGAAAATCAATGGGAGGTAAATAATATGAAAAATGCTGACTACAATTTTTTTGCTCAACGTCTGTAGTATAATTAACTATACGTAGTTGTATTTTTAATTTTTAACTTTATTAATTATTTATTATTATTTATTTTTAATTTTATATATATATATATGTATCAGTGACACACGTTCTTAAAATTGACAGTTTAATTATAAATACAGAGTGTTTCTGGAATGGATGAGGACACTAGTATACGCGTACTCGCTGTGATGGCCCAAAGTAAATTTTTTTGAAATTTTTTTTCAATCTCCAAAATCTTGGTTTATTCAATTTATTTTTAGGACATTACCTTAAATGTAAAAATAAACCTTTTAGTTGTATTTTTTGCAAAATTCTCATACGAACGAGACGTCATACTGTTTTGGGCTTGTCGTGCGTTTTTCAGGCTCAAGTCGCCGACTAAAAAAAAAGTCGTGTGACACATCGATTCGTATGAGATTACTTTAAGATAGTGATAGTAGTTTGTAGTCAGTTAACATACATAAGTAATTAAAACAGCTTTAACATTGTAAAAAAGTTATAATTAAATACATTTTAATTTTAAAATCAATTTTTGTTTACAAAAGTTGATCAATGTGACCCCTGTTAACTTCTATGCACTTTTCCACACGATGGGATTGGGGGTAAATGTGTACAGTTATCGAAATCAAATGCTTTCACAGTAGATGTTTGATCGAGCAAGTGATGTCGATGCGTGTGCTCGCCGTACGGCGAATAAAGGTACCCAACGTGTCTAAGTACTTCTAAATGATGTAATGAACTCCAAGTTTTTTCTAATACATTTGGTGTTTGATGAATGATATCAGCTACATTATTAATTTTTATCAAAAGTTCATCTCTATTATTTACTTCTTTGGCATAAACTTGTTCTTTCATAAAACCTCATAAAAAAAAAGTCACACGGGTTAAGATCAAGACTGCGTGGTGGCCATATTATGTCTGGGCTATATTGAACATTGTTTCCAACTCCTCTACCTATACGTTTGTCAGGGAAAATATAATGCAATTGTTGTCGAATTGCATTTGTATGATGAGGACGTGCACTATTTAACATAAACCACAATAATTCTTGTTCTTTCAATGTCTCTAATAGTACCGGAAGATCATATATAATAAAATGTAAAAATCCTTGACCGTTCAATCTAGCCGGTAATTTATATCTTTTGTAAATAAATAAATAATAAAATACATAATTTAAAACTCTATTAACTCTTATTTTATTATTATTTTATCATTGTTATAAATCGACAATATTAAAACTATTTTAATTAATTATGTGTGTTAACTGACAACAAACTATTATCACCACTATTTATCTTGAAGTGTACTCATACGAATCGATGTGTCAAACAACTCTTTTTTTAGTCAGAGGATCGAGAGTGACCTAACCTAACGCACGACAAGCCCAAAAACAGTGTGACGTCTCGATTCGTATGAGAATTTTACAAAAAATACAACTAAAGTTTTTACTTTTACATTTAATAATGTCCTAAAAATAAATTGAATAAACCAAGATTTTGGAGATTGAAAAATTTTCAAAAAAATCTACTTTGGGCCTTCACAACGAGGATGCGTATACTAATGTCTTTATCCATTCTAGAACCATCCTGTATATAATAATATTTTTTATTGTATAATAAGTAATTATATAAATTTTATTCGTGTACTCGTATACACTGTATTACGAAATATGGAATATTTGTTTATTGTAAGTAAAATTAGGTCCTTCTAGGCTATAATGAAACAAGTCCAACTGTTGACTAGTGTTTTTGTTGGGAGGAGTGAGATACCCCCCCCCTCAAGACCCCCCTTCGTGATGGCCTTGTAGGCGGTAGGAATATGGAAGGTTTTTTTGTGAACGAGATGCATTCGAAGGAACTTTAAAATTGATTTAGGAAAGCAAATATGGAGAATCAATTTGGTTAGTTATTAGACCACGAATAAATTTTATATTTAATATTCTTCTTCGTTCAGCAAGAGTAGGCAGATCAAGTATATTAGTGATATTGGTTTAATCATGAGCTGAATGGGGAATACCTAACACAAAACAAGCAAATCTTAAAAATCTTTGTTAAACACGTTGAAGTTGATCAGATATATTAAAGACGATCTTCTGGCACTATCTTCTTTTTTCTTCAAATATGGAAATATTTTTTTTTTCTAGAAAGCAACATAATTTCCAAGGAATTTTTGATGTAACATATTTAAATATAATTAAAATTTGTACCAATAATTCCGTAGTTAATCGAATTTATTTATGAAAGACTCAGTGTAATTTATTTCCTTCGACCCGTACATCAAAGTTATTATTAAATTATGATAACACGATGTAATTTGTCATTTTACTTAATCGCTATTGACTACTTTTTCGAGAAAATTTGGATTTGATTTAAACATTTATTACAGTATACTCATTATATAAAAGTAAAATATCTATAAAGGTAAATAATATTCTAATAAAATCTTATATTTTTTTTATACTGAACTTAAAAATTAAATCATTCCGTGACTAGATCTCGGTATAATAGTACGAGTATAACAATAAATCCTATAGAAAAAGGATTTCATAACGGAAACCTTAAGCAATCTGATCTTCTGTTAGCGTGTAGTGCCACTCAAGGGAAGAGAAACAAACGAGTCCACCGCTTGGGACGTTTTACACGTGATCGAGCGTTAGATTTCCGACTCTTATACCGAAGTGAAAATCCTTTAAGGACTTGGATGGACGGTCTTTGCCTGGTACACTGTACTAGCTCACTCCATATCATCCAACCGCGATTTGCGGGTGAACTAAACACGGTAGCAAGACACGTAGGACACATGCCTAATAACAGGGCTAACCACACTGCCCTACCATTGATATTTTTGTCGGTCGTTGGTAGAACCCGGTTCAACAGCAGATCGTCACCCCGTTATCTACTGACTTAAAATAAATACAGGCCTAGTCCAGGCCAGCGACACGTATGCCGCTAAAACTTCGGGGTCAGCGTGGGATCCATCGAGTCTGGCGTAGTGAACCCGGACTGCGTGAAACGTGGTCCCGGGTCGCAGGACGGTGGTCTATGGTCCAACCAACTAACCGTTCTGAAAGGAT